TCATAGTGTAAAAAACATTTAACAAACTAGCAAATTCAACAGTAAATTAAATCTAAAAAATAATAGTTATTTATTCGACGAGTTTGAGTGTAAATCGGACTCTTTATTTGACCGAGTGGATCCACGAGGTGGAATAAAGCGTCCGATTTACACTTAAACGAGTGGAATACAACATTTTATTCTTCGAATTAGAGTCAACAAGGCTTAAACTTGCTTTAAATCTGTTAAAAATAATTTGACATTTTGTATTGAGAAATGCCAAACAGTTGTCAAAACTTCCTTACACGGGAGAAAAACCGTAAATTTTGACAGTGTCGAAGAATAAAAGATCTTTTTAGATCGAATCTAATTAAATGAACATTATTGCAGTTTCTAAAAAATTGCTTTGTACACAGGCTGTTCCGGCTAAACCCCACATTAGAAGTGTTTGGAGTTCTAGAGTTCTAGCTATCTAGTTATTTCTAGTTCTAGTTATCTAGAATTTTGACTATAGCCATAATCGTTTAGATTTTGCTCAATGAAAATATTTTCAAAATGGCAGCACTCCGGTTACACCGGAAATGGGTATCAACTTTGTTATTTTCAATAGAAAGTTATGTTTTTAATTGCGCTTTTAGATTATTCAGGTGATTTTGAGAGAGTTTTTATCAGATTTCCCTATACTTACCTAGATTTAACCGATTTTGAAATATTTGGTTTTTTTTTTAATTTGCATCTTCCTCTTCATTAATCGATAACTCTACCATTTTTAATTAATTTGAAATCGTATTTGGGCACATGAAAAAGAAAGGTTAGATATTTTCTTTCGTGTATTTAAAATTGGAAAAATAATTAACAAACCTCAAAAATTTAAGGTTGCGCTTGGGAAACTTCAAATACCCGTAACTGATTTTTTTCATATGGAAGGCCACAATTTTTTCTTCACTAAATGAAAGTGAATTTATCTGTATCAAGATTCCCTATACGTAAATTTAATGATTTCCAAGTTGTTTTAACTTTTTTTATAATGGAAGAAATTCATCACTCGTATAATTTGCAATATTTCTCACTGAAAAAACGCCAAGTTTTTTTTCACAATTGTGTTATTCTTTTCGTAAATACAAATTAAATTTATTTCATCTAAATTTGAATAACTTTGATATTCTATTTTTTTCCTATTTCTATGACAATCAATGCTAAAGTAGCTATGGCTAATGAATTTGTAACAATATCAAAAGAAGTTACTATAACTTGAATACAGATCGAAGCAGAACTAAATTCTCCTCCATTTAGTAAAGAAAAKATTGGGGTGTTTTATTTAGAAAAATTTGGCGGTTTGTTAATTATTTTTCCAAATATGAATACACCAAAGGAAAGATCTAACCTTTTTCTCCRGTAAACCCAAATACATAACATAACATAATAAAAAACATACATAATAAAAAATAAGTTATCGATTTTTGAATAGGAAGATTCAAATCCAAAAAAAAATTAAAAAGGTCTAAATATTTCGAAAACGATTAAACTGGGAAGGCTAATAAAAATTCTCTCAAAATCACATGAACAATCCAAAAACGCAATAAAAAATATACCTTTCTATTTAAAATAACGAAGTTGATATTCACTTCCGGTGTGACAAGACGTGTCGCCAATTTGAAAATATTTTCATTGAGAAGAAACTAAACAGAATTTTAGATAAATATCAATGTTAGAGCTCTCAATACTTCTAATGCGGGATTTAGCCGGAACAGCCTGTATAATTAACAGAAAATATGATCCAAAAATTTTGTTTCTGCTGTTCTAAAGCTTTCTGCTTTCTTTGTTGCTGAAACAAGCTTAAAAAGACTTGTTAGCTTTCCGGTAATAATTTTTTTCCAGTTTCGGTATCGAATTTAATTAATGATTGTAGAATAACACGAAAATCCCTAATTTATAATTTCCCAACGTCTTTGTATGATTATTATTCAGTACAGTTGCTTGTAATGACATTTTGAACACACCTAGTACATAATACTCGGTCCATATGTCTGTCTCATTCATTAGGTATGTCTAGGGGCATTGCCGTCGAATTACCATCAACTCGTATTAGAGATTAGAGTCTTGAACAATGACTCACTTTGCGCATTTTTTTTAGTCTAAACTCAATACAAATCGACTCAAATGTTTCCATTTGTTTTCCTCGAAGACAACTCAAAGTCAAATGAAACTTTCTACAGCTGATCTACGATACAACACGACCATAATTTTTATTGCATTTGCTTAGCCACAACAATTAACAAACCACTTTATGAATGGATAAATTATAACACACCACCAAAAAAAAAAATAAACGTCCTATTTATCTAAATTAAGCTAACATAAAAGTATGTAACATTTGCAATTGACAAGTCAAGGAGGGTCAAACAACGTGACTGAAATTTATCGGTCAGTTATGTGTTGACAGTGATATTTGTGCTTGATTTGCATATTAAATACGACAATTTAGCAAACTTGAAGAAATGGACTTGGACTTACCGGAATCTACTATGTGTTGATGAGTTGGAAACCTTTTTCTCACTCGCAAAGAAACCCTTTGGAGAGTTATTACATAAGCTAAAACTGCGTATCTAACTATGTTTCTTCTCATCAGTCTTTGTCTTTCATCCTGAAAGAAAAAAAAACACGTTACTAAAAATATTCGAAAAACGAAAAAGAAAATTATTAATTTTATTCAGTTGGCAATATTGTTCTATTGTCTTTTTGACACTGTAATGACAGATCCAAAGATTTAAGAGTGTCTTAAAATAGTTTTTCCAATCCACTTTTGTTTTCTTAAAACAATGATTGTGTGCCAAAACGGTCGAAATTTTAGTAAATACACTACTCAAAAATATTTCTTAAATTTCTTGGTGATTTTTGAAAGATTGTATCTGATCAAAAAATGGTCGTACCTAAATCGAAGAAAAAACATTTTGAAGCTTTAATATTCTGCCAAAAGGAAAATGAATTCGTATTATTCTACTAGATGCTCATTGTTTTATTTGAACAATTGACGTGTGATTAACGCAAATCGTGAATTCTTATTTGCAAAAATTTTGCAATTAGTTGTAGTTAGTCATTTGAAAAATGCAATGTTCATTTCCTTGTGAGCAATGGYGAAGAAACTGCACAAAGACTCAATGCCTAATGCTAAATAAGCAAGTTTGTGAAATGTGATTGCTCTAGAACGTAGTATAAAAGATACCGCTAAAGAATTGCAACAAATAAATTGTTACGATCGTGGTCTGCATGACTCAATGATGTAACCATATGAACAATAAGTACAATAGCCTCATGTAAGATTATTATTTCTAAATGCACATGTAACCATCACTTCGTGTGCAGCATTGCAATTATGCGCTGTTCTAGATCTCTTTACAAACATTTACGCGAAAAAATAGCAATTCGCTAGCATTCTCAACAAATTAAAATTAATTAATAAAAAGTTGCAATCAATAAATCAATCATAAAATAATTGAACTGTAATTTCATCAGTGAAATTTTAACGTCAAGCGGAACGTTAGGTAAATGAAACAATTTCAGCGAAAATGTTAGCTATGTTTTACAAATTGTTTAATAATAATTAATAATTTCATACAGTGGGACCTCGTTAAGTCGAAGTACCTATTGCCAAAAAATTATTAAAGTTATTGAAGTTCCCAAATAGAGAATATTGCTTTTTTACATTGGAGTATTGTTTTATTTGAAAATTATAAAATGTAAACAAAAATTAACTTCTATAAAATATACAACTGTTCCGGCTAAACCCCACATTAGAAGTTGTTATTTTAAATAGAAAGTTATGTTTTTATTGCCTTCTTGAATTATTCAAGTGATTTTGAGATCAGACTTCCTCCCTATAACTAAATTTAACCGTTTTTGAAATATTTAGACTTTTTTGAAATTATTTTAATTTGCATCTTCCTCTCTAAAAATCGATAACTCTACCATTTTTAATTACTTTGAAATCGTATTTGGGCTTATGAAAAAGAAAGGTTAGATCGTTTGTTTCGTGTATGTATAATTGGAAAAATAATTAACAATCCTCCAAAATTTAAGGTTGAGTTTGGAAAACTTCAAATACCCGTAACTGATTTTTTTCAAATGGAAAGCCACATTTTTTTTTCACTAAATGAAAGAGAATTTAATTCTGCATCGATCTGTGTCAACATTTTCTTAATGATTTCCAAGTTATTTTAACTTTTTTTACAATGGAAGAAATTCGTCACTTTTCATGGTAGTTTTCGCATAGTTTGCCATGGAAATATTTCTCACTGAAAAAGCGCCTAGTTTTTTTTCACAATTGTGTTATTTGTTTCGTAAATATAAGTTAAATTTATTTAATCTAAATTTGAATTATTTTTTTGATATTCTTTTTGTTTCTTATTTCTATGACAAACTATGCTAAAGTAGCTAATGAATTTCTCACAATATCAAAAGAAGTTACTATAACTTGAAAACTATTAAACATAGATATAGGGAATGTTAATACAGATCGAAGCAGAACTTAATTTTCATCCATTTAGTGAAGAAAAATGGGGTGTTTCATTTAGAAAAATTGAGTTAAGGATAAGGAGTTATCGATATTTGAATAGGAAGATTCAAATCTAAATTCTTTTAAAAAGGTCTAAATATTTAGAAAACGGTTAAACTTAGGTATAGGGAAGGCTAATAAAAACTCTCCCAAAATCACTTGAGTAATCCAAAAACGCAATAAAAAACATAACTTTTTATTTAAAATAACACTAACAGGAAGTGCCGCCATTCTGAAAATATTTTCATTGAGCAGAACCTAACCGATTGTGGCTATAAACAAAATTTTAGATAAATATCATTGTTAGAACTTCCAAAACTAATTTGGGGTTTAGCCGGAACAGCCTGTATAAACAAAAAAATTAAAATTGCGAATGTATAGAGATACAGATTTTATTCATTTGTCTTTACGGTGATCTTTTATTTAAAACTGTCTGAACATTTTTCCTTTATTTCGAAAAAGCTTTCACAGGCCTTGATTTTTGTGTAAGTAAACTGAAAACACTTTATCAAAATTTCGGGATACAAAAGTTCGATTTATCGACGAGTTTACACTGTATTTTTACACAATCGCGTTTGTGGTCATCTTCACTAAGCTACACCAATAAATATTATTTTGAGGTATTGTAATTGTTAAAATGTACTTTCAGAAGAAAAATTACGTAAGGATTGTTTCAAATTTAGAAATGATTAATGTAGTGAAAACGTCCATTTCTAGGCGAACCTATTTGCTGTTTGACTGAAAAGAGTTTTGGAAATTAACTTCAAGTTTGGCATTGTTTTTTTTTTTAATTATTTCTAGGGTAGCCTGTATAGCCGAGGAAATGGAAAAGTACTGCCCTTGACTGTTCATAGGTATTTAGAGCCTTGTTTGGATACACAAAGTGTCCTCTCAACATTTTTATTTTAATAATTTATAAGTTTAGTGATAAAATATGATAAAAATATTGAATCATACGTACTTACCGCACCCGGAATGCCCGCATTCAAAAACAGAGCAAGAGTATCAGGCCACGGCAACAGTCTATATTGTTCCCACCACCTCTTCACAACCAACGTTACATAAAAACCTAATACAAACGACATTGGTATTATTTCAGTTTGTTGACTAAAGTACAGTTGTATCCTTTCAAACGTCCTGGAAAAAAATGTAAAAAAAATGATAATTTTTGGACCAAAACCACTTACTTCTTTTGGTCTTGATTTAGTCCAAATCTATATACAAAACTGATGGAATAGTATAGAAATAAATACGCCACTAGCTCCCGCCATACTAATTTGTATACACTGCCTCTCCATCTGAAACAAGGAAACTGTGTTCAATTTTTAAATTAATTAAAATTTTAGGAACATTTCGCACGTCTAGACTAGACAGTGAAGGTATTCATAGAAACTAAAAGCTATCTTCGGGATTTTAATTTAAAAATTTCAAGAGAAAGTAAAGCCGTCTGGTTTCTAACAAACAATGTGTGCACTATGACTATTGAAAACTATTGATCTAAATCCGAATCAGGATTTGAGTTTGGCACCTTTTCCGCTAAGTTTCACTCAAGTAGACGACACGTGCGACATGGTTGTGCATAATTAATAAAGATTATTTCTTCAATAAAGCGACCACTAAATCGGCCCTTTTCGATATTTAAAAATGATGATATAAAAATAAAAAAATTTCACACGTGCTAAACCTCACATCAGAAGTATTGGGAGTTCTATCAATGATATTTATCTAAAATTTTGTTTATAGCCCAGAATCGGTTAGGTTCTGCTCAATAAAAATATTTTCAAGATGGCGGCACTTCCTGTTACACTGGAAGTGGATTTTTCATTAGCCTTCCTAATACCTAAGTTTAACCGTTTTCAAAATATTTAGACCTTTTTAAAAAAATTGTATTTGAATCTTCCTATTCAAAAATCGATAAGTCTACCATTTTTAATTATTTTGAAATCATATTTGGGCATATGAAAAAGAAAGGTTAGATCATTTGTTTCGTGTATATATGATTCAAAAAATAATTAACAAACCGCCAAATTGTAAGGTTATGTTTAGGGAACTTCAAATACCCTTAACTCAATTTTTCTAAATGAAACACCCTAATTTTCTCTTCACTGAATTAAGGAGAATTTAGTTCTGCTTCGATCTGTATTAACATTCCCTATACCTATGTTTGATAGTTTTCAATTTATAGTAACTTCTTTTGATATTATGAGAAATTTATTAGCCAGAGCTTTACTTTAGCAATGGTTGTCATATGAATTAAAAAAAAATAAAATATCAAAGTTATTGAAATTTAAATTAATAAATGTAATTTCTATTTACAAAAAGAATAACTTGTCGTTTTTTTTCAGTGAGAAATATTTCCATAGCAAACTATGCGAAAACTACCATGGATAGTAATGAATTTCTTCCATTGTAAAAAAAGTCAAAATGACTTGGAAATCATTAAATTTAGGTATAGGGAGTATTGATACAGATCGATGCAGAATTAAATTCTCTTAATGTAATGAAAAAATTAGGGCCTTACATTTGAAAAAAAAAACATTTTCCCAAACGTAACCTTAAATTTTTGAGGTTTGTTAATTATTTTTCCAATTATAAATACATATGCCCAAATGCGATTTCAAAATAATTAAAAATGGCTGAGTTATCGATCCTTGGAAAGAAAGATGCAAATTAAAAAAAAAATTCAAAAAGTCTAAATATTTCAAAAACGAGTAAAATTTAGATATAGAGAAGTCTGATAGAAACTCTTTCAAAATCACTTAGGAATCCACAAAGCAATAAAAAATATAACTTTCTATTGAAAATAACAAATTTGATACCTATTTACGGTGTAACCAGAAGTGTGGGCATCTTGAAAATACCTATTTTCATCGAGCAGAACCTAACCAATTATGATTATAACCAAAATTTTAGATAAATATCATTGTTAAAATTTCTAATACTTCTAATGTGGGGTTTAGCAGGAAAAGCCTCTATTTTGGTCGTCAGTGTCTTATTTTTTGTATAATTTGAAATTCGCGGTATAGAGTCAGAAATAATAGAGAGCCAATCAAAGTTTAAACAATTTTTGACTATATGTTTTTTTTTTGTCTTTTTGAACTGAAGTTAGTTTTTTCACACAAATTAACTAAAAAGTTCACTAAAAATGGCTTCATGTTTTTTTCCGCGTTCACGAAATGAAGACCCTCACTCCTTCGTCATTCATGCTTTAAAACGGTGTTTTTTTTTTCATGAATATACCAGACTTTAAAATGATAATTAATAATAATAAATTAAACAAAAATGGGAAAATACGAATTTTCATCTACATTCTCTGTTTTTCCTTATTTCAATAATAAACATTTATATTTTCCAATTTTTTCCACTTTGTTTATTAATTAAAATTCAGGAGTGACGATTCTACGTCAGTTGAGTATTATGCCCACTCCTTTAGTGACATTTTAATTGCAAATGTCATATGTAAAATAATAATATAAATGTACTGAAACTTGAATAAACAATACTTAATAAACTTTATTAATTACCAACAATAGCTCTGTCTACGTCAAGTTCCTTTTAAAACCTCTGTTATTATTACCGAAACTAATTGAGTAGAAATAAAACAAAATGTGTTTTTCTAACAAAAGTAATGCAATTTACATTAAAAAACAACTAATCTTCGAACAATTGGGACACCTGTATGTACAAAAATTTGATTGGATGTTACACATGTTGAAATTGAGATAAACACTTGCAATGTAACATCCGCTTCGTGTCTACTCAAGAGGAAAATATATAATTTTCTCATTTCTAAAAATACAGAAACATGCAAATATCAAAAACCAATTTTTCCACTTACAATAAATAAGTAATTATTTCTCGCAGCGATTTAAATTAAATCTTGCGATAGATAATAACTTTCAATTAATTACATAATTTGAAATTTTCATACTAAAATAATGATCATTGCGCAATTATTATTTCGGTCATAAATTCATACCTACATACCGTTGATCTTTTTTTTTTCACATAATCTTAACTAACGGTTAATAATTCCTTAAATAGTCTTGTCTCTAGAAGGAGCAAATCTAATTCAACAATTGAAAAACAACCTTGAGCAACCTTGTCAGGTCGCGGATATTGCAATATTCAATTTTTGCCTTAAAATTATTTATCTACGTTTCAAAAATGGTCATCACCTAATTTGAGCTAATTTGCATGCATCTATTGTAGGAATTATGGTATGTCTATGGTACAATGGTTTAAAAATGCCTTGTTGGTCTCTGAGTCAGACGGAAACTTTGAATTTTTTCCACAAAAGCAGCGACCGCTCCTCTTGATATTTGCTTTGACAAATTCTGAGAAAATAGACAGTAAAAATCGCCGTGTAATATATTACTGTTACATAACAGTAAATTATATTAATCTCATTATGACAAACCTAGTTGCAGTTGTAAACTAATAATTCTAATTAAATTTTAAATATGCCTTTGTAGCCTTGAGACGAAAAGAAGGCTCAGTAATTACATACTTAGCTAAACGTGAACTAAATATTTAATACGAAATCAAAAGGTCGTTTTGATGAAAAAATTCATTCTGCAGCATCGACACATAAAATCATTCTTAATAAGGTTAAGACGTAAGGCTGTGTTTGCAGAAATGATTGCGACATTAATTAACGACTTTTTCCCAGTTTCTAATGCTACTCTAAATTTTTCACTTTTGTGGGATTTTCACAACACATTCGCTTTTGATTTGAAATTTCACCGGCGTGGTGAAATTGTAAACCGGAAACAATAAAGGATCAAAACCTTCAGGTTCCATTGACACACTAATCCGGATGCAGGGTTTCAAAAAACGAAAAATTTCAAATTTTTTTTTTTTATGATTACAAAATATGTACTTACGTATTTTATTTTTATGCAGTTTCAATTTCGTAGGTTATAATGACTTAATTATACTTAATATTAAATGTAAAAAACGTTTAGCAAACACTATTTAATTACTCCTCGTAACATCATAAATATATACAAAATCAACAAACTTTCTTTACCCCTAAAGCAATTTGATTTAATTAAATAATTCTAGATCCTAGGAATATCATTTGAATGGTATATTAAACTACAAGTTGCAGAAGGTATCTTATTCAAGCACAAATTTGAACAAATGAGTGCTTGAAGAACCTTCTGCAACAAGTGCTTTATACATTATTTTTTCAATTTTGCTGCTTTATATCATTTTATAAATTAAAAGACGAAATTTTTTTTTCTAGAGAATTTTGCGACGGTTGGCGTCATTTATGTAGAATAATTTTAGGCGCCTGTGAAAAATAAAAATAATTCTTAACGCCAACGACTTATTAAAGCACTTAAATGACGTCATTTGGGTGCTGGAATAGACTAAACGCAAAACAGAAAAACATTTTTATTATTTCTGAACAATTGAGAAATACTTATTTAAAAAAGTAAATATTTATAAAATAATAATTTCGTTTTAAAAAAATATATTCTTCGAAAATTTGAAGGTGTAACGTTGGTATTGTTTTTTATTATCTATCACTTTCAAACAATTTTACTTCTTTAATTATAATTACATATTGTACAAAGGGTATAGTTTTCTTTAAATGCATTTTATCGTTTATTTATGTTTTAAAAAA